TAAACCCTCAAATTTACCTGTGGCACGACCCAGCTCATGGCCTTCAAAGCATGGCATGTGAAGGAAATGGGTCACCAAGGCCTCGAGACGTTCGATGACCTTATGCTGGTGAGTTGAAATTGGTGCTCCTAATTGAGCACAGGATGGAGGCACCTTCGGGCACCCCAACGTTTCCCAATTCAACGTGCACAGCAAAAGATTGACCAGTTTGGCTCTCGTCTCATGGAATCGTCTGCGCTTTCGCTGGCGAGGATTGGGGTTTTTCCTTGCCGTCCAACGCCACCTGAAGGGGGGGACAGGCCATAAGGGCTGCTGTGGCAACCCCTGCACAGTGCAGGTGGAACGAACCAAACTGGCTCGACAGAAGAAAGTAAGACAACTTGAAATCTTCCAAAAGTCATCAATCAGAACTTGCATAAGCTGGATGGGGCAAAACTGCTGTTTGGAAAAAGGCTGAGCATGCATGTCACAAAAATCTCCATCAGTGCGTCCGGCATTACTATCAAAAGCATCCCCGGAATCAAAAGGGTTACAACCACTTATCCCTTGAGGGTTTGGATTTTTAGACCCACTATCATTCCGGCCTGTCATCCGGCAGCCTGTGTCGAATCGTTGCCCTGAGCGGCACTCTGGTTCTGCTTGCCTTTGCCTCTCCCCTTGGCCTTTGGATTCGGCTTCCTGGGCTTGTCGTCCTTCTCGTCCTCGCTTACATGGGCTTTTGACAGTTTCCCTGGCTTTCCCACATTGGCAAGACGAGTTTCCATGTAATCCAAGTCCCGGAGGTAAGAGACATTTGCTGACACCCAACTCGGAGGACAAAGTCTTGAAAATGGTTCCAAGCCGGGTCTTTTCTTGGCTGTGAGCATCATGTGCATGGCCGGTTCGGTATACCCAGTCAGGAGCCAGGCAAGTTGAGTCTTGCCCCCGTCGATTGCACATTGTTCGACGAAGAACAACATTCTGGCTACGGTCCCCATCAAGGCTTGATCCTGCAGCTCGAAACCAACCGCCCATGACTCTGCTAACATTGTGGCCACCATCGCCAAAGTCTTGAACTCTGCTAATGGGATGCGGCGTTCCACATACTTCCTCATGAGGGAAGCATCTTCCCGAGCTGGACTCAGGCCGAGTTCTCGGAGAGCATTGGCGCGAGCTTGCATTGCGACTTTTGGAAGGTCGCCTATAGCTCTTTGGAAGGCTTCTCGGGCGAGGCAGCCCTTGATGTTTGAGCTTCCTCCTGAGCCGCTGTCCGAACCGGACAGCGCGCCCAGGACTGGATCTTGACTCTTCGGCAACAACCGTTGTAGCAGCAACTGGTTTTGTTGAAGCTGCATGTCCAGCATTTTTTTGCATAGGGTCCAGGGCTTCCATTTCCGGATTCGTCAGCGCCAATGGTAGTGCATCTTCTTCTGCTTCTCGTTCGTGCAGGATCAACGCACTGTCGTCGGCAACTGTTCTGGTTGGCAAACTGACTCGCCTTGTTTCCAAATTGCCCACTCTCGGAGGGGGAGAACCTGCAAGCTTCTGGATCTTGGCCCACTGACTGGAAGACAGGGGGGCTTTGCTGTACACCGAACATAGGTGGTGCCTTCGGTGTTGGGCCAGGCAACAGAGGGGCTTTTGGGCTGGGCTGGTTTTGCACGGCTTTCAACCTTCCCTCCAATTCGGCAATTCGAGCAAGCAACAGCTGCTCGGAGCTGAGAGGAGCACCATCTACTGAACCCAAGTCCTCTGCCTCGGCTTCTCCTGCTTGACCCGAAGTCTCCGGGGCCTCCACAAACTCTTCGGCTGAACCATATTCTGCAGCTGAGGTTTGATCCATGATGCCGCTGTTGATCCATATATCGGCAAGCTGAAACACCGACTCTTTTGAGGGCCGGCCTGCTGTGCCATTGATTTCGACCTGAGTGACTTCGCAATTGCGATATGCGGCGCTGCGAAGGTTCACTGGCTTGACAAAATGCCCAGCAAAATCCCAAGGCAGATCCACTAGCATCACTTCGGCTTCTCCTAAAGCCCGGCCTCGATTCGACAAAACACTGACGGTTCCTGGGTGAAATTCTGGCAGTACTTCGGTGCCAGCATCTATTGACAGCAAAAAGTCTTGCACTTCTGGTGAATTCGGGATTGACAGCATGAAGCCACCTGAGCGGACTTGCACCACGTGACATACTGCTATTGAGGGATTGGAATCTTCACTGCCTTCGGCAAGAATCAAATGAATCACAGATAACACTTTACCTGCGCCACTGACCCTGGCCAAAGTGGAGATTGTCTCACGGTCTAATTCTCTGCTCACTGCTCCGGCCATTCAACTTGGGCGCCGCTGATGTAAGCCGCACGCTCTGCTTGGGAGGCAAATCCGTGGGAAATGGTGGAGCTTTCAGGCTCACGAAGTCCCCTGGGATCTGACACTTGGGCGATGTAGGACCGGTAACTGGTGGTCCAGAAACCAGGCCCGTTCCTGAGCACAACGTAGTAGGAGTTTCTGAAAGGCACACTTGGACTGGCCTCGTTACGGATGTCACCGTTGAGGCGGAACCTTGCGATCACTCCTGCCTTAAATGCACGACCCAATCTGGCTGCTGGGCTCCACAAACGATCCTGACCAGTCAGTCGATGTTGAGCTAGACCGAGATGGCTAAGGTCCAAGGCAGCAAAGGCAGTAGGATTTGTTGCTCGCACCGCTTGATTGATCAAAGCCTCGGGCAAACCAGGTGCAGTGGAAACTGGTTCCCAACTTGCCACACTTCTAACGCTCGAAGCAGGATAACCAGAGGGGGTACCCAAGCTCAAGCTAGGCAAAGGATCCCGGTTGGAGCGATCCCGGTGCCGCACTGAGATGGTGAGTTCCAGCTGCCCTAGCAAAATCACTAAGCTCTCAACTGGATCAGATGGGCCACGGCTCACGCACGTCGCCGATACTCACTCAATCTAGTTTGAAGTCCCACCCCAGCTGACACTTCAACAGGCTGGACAGTCACCGCAAGGCCCCGAACCACAAAGCCAAAAAATCGGCGGCAGTGATGGGAAAAGATGGCAGTGGCACACAAAAATCCAGTGATGAAGCAACTGCAGCACACGAGACAAATGGCGAGGCCGACGAAACCCCAAGGGCAGCTGGTGCCGCCTGCGAAGTACCTGAGTTCCCTGAGAACGTCAGGCACCAAAAAAAGTCCAACTCATGTATCTTGATCCCCAAACAGCTTCAGCCCGATCAGCATGCCACTCATGAGATGGATGTCATATATGTATATAGTATTATATCTGAAGTGCCTATACCGCAAAAAGGAACCGCGTCTGGAACCGCCTGTCCTTCTTACATCCACACCCGGTTTTTAACCAAGGGGTGTCAACGGATCGTCGCCCGTGCGTGTTGCGTAGAGGAAAATCGTCGAAACCGCAGGTCATTTCTCAGGGTCGTTTGGGGTGGGGGAGGGTTCGGGGGGAAAGGACCTCGCCCACTTTTTGGTTTCATGCATCACTTGCCACGAAGAAAAACAAGCAAACTGTGATCAGGTGACATCTGCTGAAGTTTAAAAGAACATCTCCTGTGCCAGCAAGCTGGCCTCCTAGGTATATATCCAGAAAGACAGGCAGTGTACTCAGGGTCCCCAGGGTGATTGGTCTTGACATGAACCTGACAGTTCCTGAGAACAGCTCTTTCATGTTCTTTGTGTTCAACACCCATGGAGCGACTACCCCAGTTACGAAGGCTGATGAGACATCTGCGAGGCCTAGGCCAAGCCTGGCACTTGAGTCTTTCACAACGACATCTGCGCATTCTTGGGAGAAGTGGACACTTCCCACCTTCCCCTGGGCCGCCTTTTTCGGAGATTCCCTTCTTCGGAACCTTTTCACCGGTGCTTCCGGGAGTCTTCACCCCACTCGTCTCCCTCCCTCCGTCCGATCCGCCGCGTTCGGCGTGTGCGTCGTCGCCTGGATCCGTCGCCACCGTTCGTGGCGCCGGGTCTCCTGCGGCGAAACGTCCGCGTTCCGCGCGCACTCGTGCCAGCAAGGTCTGCCGAGGTCCGCAGAGGCACAAAGGACTGGACGAGGTTCGATCAGTTCAGCAGAACAGGGAAGCTGCAACAAACACCTAGTTGCTAGGTGCAATATAGACATAGATGTTTTGGCATTCACAGCTTACGATTAGTTGGTGACACTCCCTTATCATGATGTGCTCTTAAAACCCATCCAAACGGATTCTGGCCGAGGGAGTGTCCCCTCCCGGGAGCTCAAAGACCATTTCCGGAACAACAACATGCACATGCACTCCTTGGAATGATCACCCGTTTGTAGAGGATTTCGATGGTCATCCAAGAGCCATTTTCCACTCATGATGATTCCAGGGAGTGCAGGTTTTCTTGAATTGACGTTTGTCTGTCCGCCGGCCCAAGATTATAGCCATCCTGAAGTCCTAGGAGTGATAAGAATCTGAAGCCCAAAATAGGTCCTTATTCCGATTCCGATTGATGTTGGGACGATTCTTCCTCCAGGTGCAATCATTTGGGGTTCAAATTGGTTCGAGACGACACTCTCTCAAACCACCGAACCAGGTGAGGTCAACTCAGCTGGAGCACGAAGACAAATCTGGGCCAATCACTTCCCTCAGGACGACACAAGTCCTGGACGGGAATGAAGAGGTCTGTCTCACTCCCTGAGTTCTCTGGGAAGATAGAGACCTTTTTCAACCTAGTCTTGTGTAGTGGGGAAACCAATCCCCCCCAAAAAGGCTTTGCAGGTTATCCACTTTTCCTGGGTAGGAGCTTGAGTGACCCCCCATCGTGCAGGTTAGCAACTCTGCTCACTAACGCCACGCTGAGCTGGCATCCCAACGCCATGGTCTTTTTGGCTCACAAGGGCTGTGATTGCGAAGGCTTGGCCCATTCGGGGGCTTATGTACAAAATTGTAAGGAATATGCAAAGGATACAGGATCAACAATGGAGGCCATCGCTATTAGGTTGGAGGCCATAGTTACTATAGGTTTTGTTGGTGAGCTAGGACAACCAGGGTTCCACACTTCAGGGCAGCATCAACCATCGCATCACTTACAGGCTGCTGATGTCCTTCTAAGAACTTGGTTGTACAAGCAAACAGCCAGCTGGGAATGCATCGCATTCTCCCACCGAATTCAGACGCTTCGCCACTTTCCTCGCAAAGCAGGATGGATCGGTCTTCTCATGCAGCGCTGGAGAAGAACTCGAAGCCGGAGCCTATCATCTTCGCTTATAGATTTTCTTTCCACCGCGCATTGCTACTAGCTTGGAGGCCATCGTTAGGATGGAGGTTAAAGAAAGGCAAACAAATATAATATATTAATAAGCCAATCAAAAGCAATAAAACGGGCTGCACCCGAGGCCATGGATCGTGACACCTGCTTCAACGAGGCAGCCTCTCAAGCAGAAACGTGGGTGCCTTACCGACTCGCTGCCCGAGTAAGCCGGAGATCCCTGGGTAAACCGAGCTTTCCTTCCTTCTGTTCATATTTCCTGCAGTGTTTTGTATCTTCAAAAAAAGTGACCAGCAGCTGATCCACCCATCTTCCTGTGTAGGGAAAGGAGCAATCTGCTACTGCCACGACCGGCCTGCAGTGTTTCACACTCCCTGAAATCAAGGATGGAAGTGGATGGCTTCAGCTTCACTTCGCTCCAGGTTTCAGTGGCAAGTCTTCGTCGAAGCTCCGCGGAGCCTCGCAGCCTCAAGCGCCCCTTCTCACCTCACAGCTGGGCTGGCCCGAGTGAACAGGCAGTGGCAGTCGGAAAAAGGAGTGAACAGGCTGCTTGTACGTGACAAGAAGATTCCAAACGACAACTAGTGTGTTTGCATATTTTTGATTTATGGATGGTCAGGTCTACCTAAAGCTATCTACAACGCCCAAGTACCGACCCTCCAAAAGGGCCGACGATGGTACCTGAACTGTCTGGGTGGCCTTGTCTACGGCTCAGTACTTGGTACATGTCTGAACTCAGACATCAAACATCGGATTGAATCTGTAAATCTGAGGAATTGCAAGAGGAACCCCAACTTTTGTGGTTGGCTTGCTCACACAACAAAGCACAACGAGGGCCGACTGCCCAACGCACCACGGGCCGCACCCATTTCTCACCGACCGTCCACGTGCCGTCCGTCCGTCCGCGGCGTGGATCGCCCGAGCCTGGCAGAACTTCTTCAGTTCGCCCATGGCCTGACCGGTTCGCCGGTTCGCCGGAGCCATTCGGCGCGGATCGTGGGGGATCGCATCAGCGGCCCCCACGAAGAACGGAGAACGACCGGAGAAGCTGGTTCAGTTCGTGACCCCAACTGAGCTTTCAGTTGTTGCGATGTAAAACGAACCTTGCGCAGACGCCATCGCCCGAAGCCCGAACCTTGCGCAAACAAATCCGTATTCCGTGAGCAGATTCTGCCTTGAATGGTTGAGGACATGTTGAAGTATGAATGCCATTCACGCATGTGAACCCCCTGTCTTCAACAAGCAAACAACACAAAGGGAATAAACTAAGTTATGAACAACCATGAACAACAATGTCATCTGAGCTACTTGATTGCAGTATGGAGCTTGTGCAACCTTGCGCAAGTATGTATGCATCGCATGCTTGGGCGAAACGTGAGCGAAAACGTTCACGTTTAGACCCCCCCGTGGGCAGTTTTAGACTCCAAAGGACTCCAGCTGGTGCTTCACCGGAAACGGTCCTTGGAACGCAGGGGGTTGAACGACCTACTCGGTCACTACTCGGTCTCACCCCACGGTCGTTCGGTCCACGGGTCGGTTCGGGGCACGGTTCGGTGCGCACCTCGGGGAAGGTGCGCACCAGGGCGAGCTGGCCTGAAGGCCACAGCAAGGTGCTGAAACACACGTGCTTGATGTGTGCTAGCACCCATGTAGACTCTTGATTAGTTCTACAATCCAAATGAGGGGATATTCTCAATCAAGAGTCTACATTATTGTTTAAATAAAGTTAATATATATTATATATATTATGTAACAAAATATTACAGTTTTGAAGCCTTTGCTTCCTCATTGTGATGTAGTTGGACCGCGGTGTGTGGACGGTCGTGGTGTTTCGTGTGTGTGTGTGTCCCACCCTGGACAAAGGGTCTCACCCCACCACTTTCACACAGGCAGGGGATGGAGACACCTGTATTGCTTCTCCATCAACGAAGCTGGCAATACATGGTGAGGATATCAGTTCCGGACGCGGAACTGACGTACCTGCTCTGAACACACCGACTCCAATGATCCACCCTGCTGCTGTTCGTTGGTTCCATGGTTGTTCTCATGATAGACCCCAAAACCTTTTCCCACCGCAGACTTGTAGCAGACTTGCCGCTTTGCCGCTGTGCGCTTTCCGCAGTCACGTAGGAAAACCTTCTTGTTGAAACATCTACAATTGCGCTGACTTTCCACCTTACCGTTGAGCCATTCCTTTCCTCGGGAGATTGCATTAACTGAAAATCCAAGTTCGAAGTGTGTCCTGCTCAGCCGTCCCACTCGGGTGCTGAGTGTGATCCCCTTCACAGGGGCGCCGTTCTTGCATGGGAAAGCAACCACCCCAACGCACCACCGATCACTGGAACTTCACAGGAAGGCACCGACACCCTCATAGAATCAACTGCCACACCGGCCGCCGGGCCAAAAAACGGTTCTTGACAAATCCCTCAGATTCAGAACTTCTGATATCAGATTTCGGCATTCAGTTTTCTTTTCATGGCTTCCAGTCATGTGCGTGTTTCTGTGTTCGTTATGTTGCTGCCGCGACTCTCTCATCGACAGCACTCAAGGAAGGGCATTGCAACTCTTCAGCTTAATTCGAGATGCATGAACACACACTTACCAACAAGCTTACGTTTAGCACCACCTTACAACATACTCACCACCGACACCAGCGATGACACCTTCAACAACAACAAGACAATACAACTCGGCAATTCTTCGCTGCTTTTTGCTGCCGCGCCGCGCCGAGCCATAGCTACGACCACGACATGCATTTTCCGTGGCCCTATGCTCACACCACGCCACCACCACTACCTACCACACAACCTCAACCCACATGGCCGATGCCACAGCCATCAACTGCACCCACCTTTCCCTCGACACAACCATCGGCATACCCTCACCCCCAACCACAACCATTTCAACCACAACCGGTTTTATCCGCCCCTACCGCCACTGCACTGACCTACGGCACACCATCCACTTGGACTTTTGTCCCCCCCATGTCACGTGCCACCGCAACCCACACATCCAGCTCCAGTGTTTCCGACAGCAGCACCTCCCCCGTCCTACCTGCTGCCACCACCTCATCCCACACCACCAGCTGAACTTCCTCCCCCCCACTACACTGACACATCCCCCTCCAACACAGCAACAGACTGCGATTGCCAATTATCCATCCACAGATCCCCAATGTGCCATCCCCCAGGGCGTTTGGCAACCCTATTCAGCTTTTCCCCCCCGTCACACAGCCTCCACGCCACCGCCTCCACAAATTACCAATGCCTCAACGCCAACCCAACCTCCATTTCAACAGCAGCTACCATCGGATCCAACACCACCGATCCAACCCATCCCCACGACTGCCCAGGACAATCCACTACCAGTCCAAAACACACCTCCACCAGCCACCGTATCCCAACATTCAGCATCCCCCTCGCTGCTATCTACCACACCAGCACCTGGAACTTCACTACCAGCACCAGACAAACCTGACACCACTGCCTCACCGGCACCACAACCACCTTCCCCCCCAACCACCACACAGCAGCCGCCGCCACCATCACAAGAGCCGACGCAAGTCCGACCATCACCACAGAGGACGCCACCGCCACCGCCGCCGACATCGCCATCACCGCCATTCCAAACATCACAGCACAACCCGGCGACGGCGGTCGCCTTCAACATCCACCTACACATCCAGCCTTACACCATCCCGCAGTCGTTCACCACCACAACCCATTGATCTACGCCCCAACACCGAACACACCAACCCGGACCCCTCTCAATATCCCACCACAGCCGTCCTCCGTCGCCCAATCAACCGTTGGCGACCTCCACCCAACTTTCACACCTTTACACCTGCAAACCAAATCCTGGAATGGCTCGAATTCCACGCCACCCAACTCGACAATCCCAACCGACCACAACACCAGTACATTGCACATATCCTCACAGACTGCAACATCACCTACAAGGAGATCACCGATTTCCGACAATATACCCACGCTAAGTGGAATGACACAACTCACCAATACGACCAATTCCAGTACTATGCCATTTCACTTCCCTTCCTCAACACCAAAGCCACTACACCAGAGCCACCTGCGGTTTCCCGCGCCACATCAACCCACCGGGAAGTCGCCCACATCAACGCAGGCCACACAGGCCCCGTCGGTAACATTTCCAACATTCTACGCCAAGGCCGTTTTTTACCCAGCACACTCCACTTTGCCAACTACCCTGGATTTTTTGCCCAGGGCGTTCGCATCACCCACAACCAACCCCATGACCACAACGAGCTTGCTCGCATCATCCACAATACCTGGCAACTCCACAAGAATTCCCATTCCCTTATCATCACACTCCTTGCTTGGGGTGCTGCCACAAAGTATACCTCTGGAGGTGAGGAACACGCCATGAACCTCCTTAACGACCACCATGGTGCAGTCTTTCATCAGAAGGGCCGCTGCTGGGTGATCCACCCGGACCACGCCATTGTCAAAGGACTGGCCTGGTCCACCAACTCCACTCCACCGGACCCATAACGCCACTACCACACATCCACACACCACTACCACCTCCACATCAACTTTTGTTCTCACACCACCACCTAACTTTTGCTGTAGCAGCAAAAAAGAGCCTCCTGCAGCAGCCACGGACATTTTGAACCCTCCATTTTTCTAGCTCCGTCGTGTTTGCTGAGAACTTTTTTGAATTGTATCGGCTTTTTTGAAGGAGTCTTTCACATGTCAGATTCTGCATCGTTGAGAGTGATTCTTCAAGTCATGTACTCAATTGTCCAACCAGCATTGCATACTCGCATTTTTGCCTGTGGGAATTTGATGCTCGCTTAATTCATATGCATGGCCTCGGAATGACGTGCTCCCTCAGACTCGCCGCTTTCCGGCTGCTTTGGCGCGCTGCCGCAGCAACCTGTGACGATTCTTGACTACTGCACACCCCTACATCTCAGACCCATGAGCAGCACGCTGACACCTCTACAAAACGGCACCTCAACTCTCCTACACAAAACCGCAGTGGCACTTTCGCAGGTACACAACCTGCTTCGACAAGCCACAGATATTGTAGCACACCTCCACACGGTTTTCCTCCACCACAGCCACCAAGCAGACCCCACTTTCCGCCAACACTTTCAGCCACTTCCAACTCCACCCAATCACCCCATACGTTTACCATCCACCACCTCATCCTGTGACTCAGCACCATCCAGACCACCCATCCGTTTACCAGCACCACCCTTACACGACTCAGACGACACTCCAACAACAACCCCTGATCCACAACCCACCACAACACGCAAGCGGAAGCAACCACCCCCACCACCACTGAACCAACAAGCCGATTGGGACGCTTGGGACGGCGACGCTGACTGTCGCCTTGTCGAACTCAAGGAAAACCCAAAACTCCGTCCCAACTGGACTACTGTGGCCCGCCGAGTGGGTTTCTCCGTTGCGCAATGCCAAGCCCGATGGCAAGAACTCAAAGACATGCAACGACAGCAAGACCAGCAACTTTTCTCCACACCACTACCAACTGCACCACCAAGACAAGCACCTTCCCCCTCACCAACACCCACATCACCAGCAGTTTCCCCAGCACCACATTCACAACCAGACTTCTCCCCTTCCCCCACCACAACACCACCGACTTCACAATATCCAACGACTCCTGCTGCTGCGCTGCTGCCGCCGGCTGCTGAGCGACCGCTTAGTGAAGACAGTCGTCCGGAGAAATCTCCACTCACGCCAGTGGGCAGTTATTTCATTTGATCCGTTTCACCCACCTTCCTTACGGCGTGCCGCGTGACAAATCCACTGACATGCATAGTCTTTTAGTTCTTCACACCCAGACTATGTTGCCCACCTTAGATTTGTCAGTTTTCAGGCTCACCTCAGCTCCGCAGCCTTTTATACGCCATTACAGTCCATCACCTGTCATGGCCAATCCTCGCGCTCGCCCTCATAGCAACCCCGATGATACACAACACTACCTCCCACAGAGCCCTCCGAGCTGGCTCCAACCTTCGATTTGTACCCAACCCGATTTTCAATCCCTCAACGGCTCTTTGGACATCCTCTCTATGGTCAACCAACACCTCCGCCGTCACCCATTCCACACTGAACCTATGCCAAGCCGGACTTACTTTCAGGACCAGAGAGCATACAACCTCCTTTACCGACTGCGCAACGACCTGATCTTGCTGGACCGCCTGATAGATGACCTCTCTCAGGCTCGACGACTCCTTCAATTTGTTACCACCGGCCCCGGGCTCCCAGGACAATACCGCATCAGCCCCACAGCCACACTCTCCAGCAGAAACCTGGCTATTATCCACAACATACCGCCAGGTTTTCCACTACCACCCGGGCTTTCCAGCCGTTCACCCTCTCCTTCACCACGTACCCCGCCACAGGACGCAGCCCGCCTGCACTCATACTGGACAGGCCCTCCACCACAAACCACCCCGACAACCCACACCAACACTACCACTTATACTAGGGAACGTTCACGGTCCCGCGACAGCCTCTCACACCACATGGGCTAACTACAGCAACATCCAACCTCCAGATCTACGGCCGCCACCGCGC